AACACTGCAATGAGAAAACTTTACTTCTCTCGATTAAATATTTAAATTTGTTTACTACATTGTTTACCATATTCTTTAACTTTAACAGTAATCGACGGAAGTCTAGATATAAACAATTTAAGCAGTGCCTGGTATCCAAAGATATTTTTCCAATCATTGAAAACATTCAGGAGCTTGGTAGAACACGATATACAAGACCTAAAACCATGTTGGACAAAAGAAGCATTCAAAATGGTTGACAAATTCGTCTCTAAGAAATATTTCCCTGGAAAATTAGATGTTAGGCTTGTATATAATCTAACTGGTACACATTTTTCACTTTCTATTTAAAAGGACAACATCAGCATTTTCTCAGAGACTCTAGTACTATTCCTTTATTCATGACACTTTTATAAAATAAGAGCCAACTTTTTCCCAAAAATATAAAAAAAATATTTTAAAATACGAGAACGAACCCCATCCGCATAAGATATTTATTAAAAGCCTTAAGTATGATTTTTTATCTTCTTTTTTTTTTATCTCTTTCTTTAACTACAACGTATTTGCACTGGGTTTCTTACACTAAACGTTACTAACATATTGATACAGTCATTCAGAGTATGTGTGAGGTATAAACTTGCTATACGTAGTAGACATTTCATATAATTTATAACAAATGCTGCATTTTATTAAGTAATTTATCATTTTATTATAATCTACTTTATAAGAATTCTGTATCCACAAATTATAAATGACAATACAGCATGGCCAGTTATGATTAAAGGAAGACAATATACTAGTCGGGGCATCTACCGAGCATTTGTCTCAAGTAAAAAGTAAATCAAGACAAAGATATTGTTCAGCAATTCGATCTCACTAATCACACCATTTCAGACCTCCGCTTCGCCATTATAGATTATAACTTCAAATCAAAGATGTTATAAACACAAGATAGCCGCGTACAATACGCGGCTATTGGGAGCTTACGAAAAAAGACGCGGCCAGTTCTACGACGACCCAATAGAGCGTGAAGACAACGAGGAGACCCGTCCGCGTACTAAAAGTAAATTCGTTACGATAACACGACGCGGCAATTTATTTTTAGGTATTCATTTGCGCATGACCGTGTCAAATGTGAAATGAAGTAAACAGAGCTCTCAGTAAAACGGCATGTCCTCTTTAACCGAAATAGCGAATTTTTAAGGGTTTAGGCAAAGGCCGACTTTTTGGCAATTGCAAAAATATTAGTACCATAAATGTTCTGTCTGCTTTACTTTTCCAATGACTTATGTTTTCACTTTAAAAAATACCCAGTGTAACTAGTAGTAATAATAGGTACTTTAGCATTTATTTTTTTTTTCAATTGATTGATAATTGTATGACTAATTATCTACATCTTTCCGATGATGCATATTATTTATACCAAGTTTTCCATAAAAAATCATGTACAATAGCATTATTTTAAATATACAGCTGTTACTTCTTACTTATACCATCGTGGAAAGTTCATGCTTACATGACAAAATAATTACACACTTTAAATGTACAGTAGTATTAATACAGTACTTTTACAACTTGAAAAGAAAAGTTTGGTGAGTAATAATTAAAATTAAATTAAAAATTAAAAAAATTTCAAAAATTTTAGTACCACTTATTGATAGTACCCTAAGTTGAGTTTCAAATTTATGTTTATTAAAATGTATTGGTATGACATGTATGGCAAACACAAATAAAGAAAGGCAGGCAGTTTTTCAACATTTATAACCTGTATTCTTTCATCTTCGAAAGGAGAAAAACAATAAGTCACAAGAGGTATAGTGGATCAAAACTTGAACAATTTCTATTTTTGGATGCTTTCATTCAGGCAACATTGAACCATAAGATAGAACAATGTTTATACATTCAGTACAACCTCTATTATTATTTGCTATCTCTTATTTTATACTTATGTTCACACGCCGTCTCTATCCTTTTTAATAGTGGCATATTGTTATTATAATGTTATTCATTGTAATAATAATAATAATAATAATAATAATTTGGTTTGTAAGCTTTATTGATGTATGTAATTTTTATACAGTATTTATATTATATTTTTAATGGGTTTTTTTTTAATTTCGGTAATTAATTTATTGATAATTCTTTGTATTGTCCTATTCAAAATACCCAAAAATCCTAAAAATCATCTTTGAAATTATCACATTTTAAATAAAAATAAATTAACAACATAGCAATGAGTATATTTAATAAATGATCTTTTTTCTCAATTTTCAGTGAAAAATACATTTTTAATCTGTACAGTAATTTGTGTATCATGCTTGTACAGCATATATATTTTTATTCTTGACAGACAGTTTATTTTTTTATTTAAGAGTTACGTCTGTTTTGTGTAATCCAGACATTTCATTCAAGCCAATTGGCTACCACTTTGCAATGTTATCCCTGAATTAATAAACAAATTAAATTGGCTATTTTTTTTTTTTTACCAAGCACTGAATCTAGTTGGTTATGGAATTGTGCATTTTGTTAATACTAAGAAAATAGCATAGAAAACTATTTAAATTATATATATATATATTTTTTTGTAAAACTTCTCAAGCAAATGATGTATGTAATATTATTCACTTGCAGCATGTATTCTCTTCCAGTGCAGGATGTTTGATAATCCATCTGTAAAAGAAAAAAAATACCTCTCAATATTTTCAGGTACAGTTATCAGGCTTAAAAATTCAGAGTAAAGATAAGAATCATGGAGCTTATTATTCTAACATAAAGGACAGATTATTTTATGCATACATTTCTTTTAACTTTAGTGAATAATGATAATATTAATAGTAACTCAGGAATTTTTAATGTGCCAATTTGAGCTTTAGAAAATAACAGAATTTTGAGATTCTTCTTAAATAGAACTAAATTTGTAGACTCTTTGACAGAAATTGGTTAACTGAGTCCAGAGAAGGGGTGCCTGAACAGAAAAATAAGGGATTCTGTTTAAGCATAGACATCCATGTTTGAATTTCGGTTAAGCAACAATGAGGTTTTTGTGATGGTTCTATTCATCCTGGTGTCACAAGGGATTCCTTTTTTTACCAAAAATGCATGTAAAAAATGTAGGTATTAGAGTTTAGGGCAAATACAATACCTATTTATTAGTACATTAGTATATTAGTACTTTTTCTACTTGATTCTTCAGCCACAGACTTCAAAATAAATGGTCTTCTGTTTCATCTGAAAACTAAATGATAATAAATATATTATAACATTATTAGTAACCATCCATAAGAAAATATAGAAAAGACAGCATGTAGGTACTAATATATGAAAATATATTTAAAAAATCATTGATATATATGTACAATATTATGTAAAATATAGAACCACCCAAAGAATTATAATGACTTTAATAAATAAAAATGATTAAATATGTTAATGCTGGGCTTAATTAGTGTGGAAATAGGTCTTAATACCTTGGAGGGATTGAGTGGCTAAATGCATATTTTAAAAAGTATGGCCTTAATATAAATAATATAATTAAAATAACAGACATATTTTATTAACATAAAATTCCTCCACACTAGCTGCCACACAATTCCAGTATTTTAAGGATGAGTTTGTGATTATCCTTTATCCACTAATGGCTCATTCAAGTAATTTGATATAATTTTATTATACAGTAATAAGTTGCAATTCAATTGATTTTTTTTTGCAGTATTTTAAAATAAAAGTGTTTCTTTTTAACTATGTCAATGTAATTTTTGTTATAAACACTTTTTATTATATTCTATGCACAGCAACTACATTTTAATGCATTTTACAACTGAATATCTGAATTTTAATTGTTTAAAAATATTTATGGTAATTTCGTATATATAAATTTGATTTACACGTACATAAATAAATATTTGTATTTTAATATTTTATTTTGACTTTTTGTTAAATGGGGCAAGGAGCTATAGGTTTATACCTTTTTTAGATGGGGCTGGAGAGCCACATAGCATGTGATTAATGTTGCTATTGGATTGGCAATCTGGGTTTAATTAATTAGGGTCTAGGCCTAGGCTAGGTAGGGTAGGCATAGTAGTAGACTCAGGTAGGTAGGAAGGAAGGACCTTGCTCTCTCAATCTCATGATCCGAGTACGACTAAAACATGTCTTTTATTTATTTACTATGCTAAGCAAATACAGGCCTGTCTCTAGGCCTACATTCGATCTAGGTCAGGCCTAAGTAGCATTATATTGCAGTTTAATAAATTTGCTTGAATAGCCCACGCCTAGGCCTAGCTCATAGTAAAATAAAACTTGCCAAGTGTGTGTATCGATCATGCGCAGTTGAGCAAAACAAACTTCACGTTGCCGTTTTCTACACAACGCCGATTACCAAATTTCACGTCGAAGAAAAGCTGAAGACAACGTGTTAAGTTATTATTTTCTGTTGGGTTGTTTTCTGCCATGACGGATGTTTTCGGAAAGAAACTGAATCATACGGAGATATCAATATTCAACTCTGCCGCATTTATTCAACAACTCGTGTAACCTATATTCTCCTTTCACTCATGAACTTTATCAAAGTAAAAGGTCCTGTACAAAAGAAAGGAGGGCGCTATAGGATAACAGTAATCCTGATTATGAGAACACATATCCAACACTCCCACTTGTTCTCATTTTAGTAAACATCTTTGAATTCAACGTTAACATATCAAAACAACTATAACGGATAAAAAAAAATATTTAACTTCCACTTCTTCTTGTGAGATCAACCTTCTTCAAATACAGTATAGATCTTTACCTTGATGCATTTAACAAATCAACATCTCATTGCGGTGTGATGAACTAACTCCCAAACAATAAACACTTGAACTTATAATTTTTAATTTTGTAGCAGGTTTTTTTTTAAATATCTGCAACCATATCTTCTGATAGGCAATACTCAATATCTATTTTGCCCTCATTATGAACATTTCGGATGAAATGATATTTTATATCTACATGTTTGGACCTCTGTCTGTTTACTGGTTTTTTACTCAATGCAATGGCCCCAATTGATTGTTTCCAAATATCTTTGTACAATTATAACCTTTCTTATCCATACCATTCAGTAACTGGGTAAGATATAAGCTCTCTTGAGTAGCGGCTGCTAAACCCATGTATTCAGCCTCACAGGTTGACAGTGCAACTGAAGGCTGTTTTCGAGATTTCCATGATATTACAGGACCCTGCTCCGTTAAGCTAAAAAAATACCCGGTAGTACTGCGTCTATCCTCTACAGAGGATGCCCAGTCTGAATCACTAAATGCAATCAAATTTAAACCTTTATCAGATTTCCTGAAACACAATTCATAATTGAGAGTACCTTTCAAGTATCTCAATACATGCTTGGCTGTAACTAAATCCCCTACCTTTGGATTAGATAGATGCTGTGATAACTTGCTGACCACCCAACTAATATCAGGCCTGGCATAGATTAGGCTACCTATGATTTCACGGTATTTTGTGGGATCAACCGTGTCCTCACTGTTACATACAATTGAAATTGTTGCCATTGATGTGGATAGGCCAGATGCGAATAGGCCAGCCAAATTAATTTCACGAACATTTTGTTGTTAAGTACAGTATGTTCCAAATGCAATATTCTTGTGTCTTCCCCACTCGCGTCTCATATTTTAAAATTTTGAGCTCTGTGATTTGGAGTTTTGTGTACAGTAAATAAATTTAACTTGTTCTATCATATTCTTTACATTGGTGTAAAACTAACTGTAAATCGATACATTTAATATTTTGATAATAAATATACATTTAATATTTTGATAATAAATAGTGTGTGTTAAATGCAGTGATATATCTTAATACCTGACTGCTTCAGTGTTTTGTTCTGTGTACAGTGAAACAATTTTATATTAACTGAGAAAATACAATTGTAATAAATTATATGCCATATACAAGGATGATAAATTGTGTTTAAAAAATATTTATTTAGTAACACCAGTACTCTTGAATTTATGTACAGTAATAATCAATAACCAAGTAAAGCACCAAAAATATCATGAATGTTGAAAATCATCATGAAAGAAGAAATCTTGGCTATGGTAAATAATACAAGGCAATCAAACATGATAAATAAACCAGTTAAACTTGCCTAAGACGACTTTGCCATAATTTCTAAGTCAATCTAATTTTACATGCCGAATTGTTGTTTTCCATTACTGTAAGTGCAAGTCAATTTAGTTTTGTCAAACAATTTCTCAATGGCATTTTGGATACGACATAGGCAAGTTCAACTACATAAATATTTCAAAATACTAAACAAAAAATGGCTGTCTCTTATACACATCTAGATGTGTATAAGAGACAGATATTAATGAAATAGTTAATTCTATTCAGAATAATATTTTAGGCCGTGGCTATTGTTATACAACTTTGCAATGCATTTGAATATGGACTTTTC